CCTTTTTTAAGAAACAAAATATGTGGAACCATAGATAATGTTCCCTGGTTTGTTTTCTTCGCTACTTCTTTTAAGAATAAGTCACAAAGACACTTGGAAACATAAACATGCACACAACAGCTAAAATCATAGGTGGCACATCAAATTCAGTAGGAAAGTGTGAGAGGCAAAGGAAACAAAACAAACAGAAATTACAAAAGTACACAAGGGCAAAACTGAGAGCCCATGTCCCTTCACAAGGAATGTTTGCTCCTTTAAACATTACTTCCTGTTGGTAGTTTCTAGCCCAAGCAAGTTATTTTCTGTAAGCAGAAGTTTCTGTCCTGCAAGGCCGGCCCACACAACCCAGGTGGAGACTCAATATTAATTATAAATTCTCAGCCAATAAATAGCTCAGGCTTGTTACTAGCTAACTCTGTACATCTTAAATTAATCTATATTTCTTGTCTACACTTTGCCATGGTGCTTGCTACCTCTTCTCTATAGGGCATGCCGTTTTGCTTCCCTCTGGGTCGGCTCACTACTCCAAGACTCCACTCTTCTTCTACCCAGAATTCTGAATTGGCTGTCCCACCTAACCTTATCCTGTCCAGCTATTGGTCATTCAGCTTCATTATTAAACCAATCACAGTGACATATATTCACACAGTGTAAAAGAACATTCCACAATTTTCTGTTGCAAAACAACAGAATTAGGAGTTCTGGCCTATTAAGTTTCAAACCTGGGAAAAACAGCCAAGGTGTCTAGTTAACACATTAAATGGACCTGGCCTCCAGGTTCTCCCAGCATCCCTTGGTTCCTACCTGTTAGAGAGTGATTAGCATACCCTGCCCTCTACCTTGAACTCTTCAGCCCTCCACAAGGGGCTCTTCTCCATGTAAAGCAGGCATTTTGGTTACCCACCCCTTTTTGTACCTTTGGTCTCCTGGCTCCTGGACATGGTTCCCTCTCTCCCTTTTCTCTTCCCTTCCCCTTCTCCCCACATGGTCCAGCTCAACGTGGACATGTCCACTCTGGACTCTCCCAGATGTCCCTGCCTCTGGCTTGTGCTCTGCACCATATCTATAATAAACTTTCTTCTCCATCATGCCTGGAAACAGTCACGTCCTTTCATTTCTTTTTTATTCCTTATTTTCATTCATGGCCCAGTGTTACCATTCTTTGATTTTTTTGCAGGCATGCTGATACGGGTTGTTGGACATAATTTGAATTTTAAATGTTGTCTGTGAATTTCCTGTGAAGGTCAATGTGTAGGTCAGGTAAAACATGTCTGACTGGCACACACTGAGCACTTCCCCTTGTACTCTTGTAGAAATAAGCACAGGGTTCAGACCCCTGCATCTTAGCTCCAGCCCACAGTGCCCAAGACCAAATGTGTTCAAGAACCTGAATTCTTAAGGAGTTTCTTACATAATCTCATTTGTGAACCAGGACAATCACACACTTAGAAAAAAGAAAAGAAAACAGATACATTATCACAACTGAATTCCAAAGCATTATAATTCATAAAACCCAGGGAGTGCTCTCTTGGTGGGATTGGATTGCATCTAAAGCTTTTCTTCTGTGGCAGTTGTGGGATTTTTCAGGTCAGGATTATTGACTCTAATTTAGGGTTTAGCAGATAGTTCCCATGTAAAGGAACAGGAGATAATATGAACTCATGTTTAATACATTACATAAGGTCCAAGCTACAAGGTATGTGACTTCCTTTGCTCTATCATCTACATTCCTGGGCATTAGGAGTCAGTTTTTGAGTTGATGGTGGACAGACTTTTACTAGATGACAGTGGCAGTGTCAACCGTAGGGAGGCGAATGTCTTCTACCCTGTCTTCTCTCTCTCTCTCTCTCTCTCTCTCTCTCTCTCTCTCTCTCTCTCTCTCTCTCTCTCTCTCTCTCTCTCTCTCTCTCTCTCTCTCTCTCTCTCTCCCTCCCCCTCCCTCCCTCTCTCTCTTTCTCTCTCTCTCTCTCTTTCTTTCTTTCTTTCTTTCTCTCTTTCTTTCTTTCTTTCCTTTTTCTTTTGTTCTGTGTAGTCTTGACTGTCCTGGAACTACTCTGGAGATCCTCCTGCCTCTGTCTCCACAGTGCTGGGATTAAAGGTGTTTATCACCACCTCCTGCCTTCTGTGCTGTCTTGTTTGATACTCTTAACTGTCACCTCACATTCCTACTTGCCTTGACAAGGATATCCCCATGAGGTTTTCAGCTATCTTTCAGCATGCTGATGAGTCACCATCCTTCCCCTTGGATTATTTTCATATAGTTCATAACCCTATATAATGGCATATCTTATCCTGATCTATTTAATGTACTCCTATGGAAAAAATCCAGGTCATCAACAATTCACTTACATAGCATTTTATTAAAACAATTTACAAAATTGCTACTCTACTTAATAATATAATTTTGAGAATTTTAAATTTTAATTATACTAGCAATTTTGTTTCACTTATTTTATTTTTTCCTCAGAGGAGAGGTATGTATCTTTCTGTATCCCTGACTGAAACTTGCCTCATAGACAAGGCTAACCTCAAACTTGCAGCCATTCCCCTGGCTCTGCCTCCTGAGTGCTGGAATTACACGCATGGGCACCCTGCCTGCTATATTAACCATTTTTAAAAAATAGGACCACAATATTTTGTATTTTTCTAGACAATTTTCAGAGATGAAATTACTAACAACGTTCCTTTTCAATGTCATAAGTCAACTGCAGCAAACCACTAATACATATCATTTTACTTCATAAAACAGCAGCAAAGGAACTATAAAGCTTTAAATAACTTTATATAGAAGTTAAAAAACTTTCCAAAAAGGGGGGGCACTTGGGGAGTAGGGGGGTACTTGCGTTCTTTCAAGAGCTCTTATTTCAAAACCCAAATGGGATTTCAAAATACAAGTAAATAAATGTCAACTCCTCTTGGCCTTTGAGCTGCCATTCTATGTTTGAAATCTGGCCAAAGCGAAATTTTCCATTCAAGAAGGACTGAAATGTACCACACTGATTTAAAAAGACAGTCTCAAACGGGGGAAGGGGGAAACTTGTGCAACTTCAGAATACCTCTTCTTATGCAGTCATTTTCCATCCCTGTAACCCAACTGAAAATTATATTACCAACCCTTTCGTTACTTTCTGCTACCGGACTTATTGTTCTTTTCCTCAGTGACAAGAGTAGACCACAGCTGGATGCCAGGCTAGACCCTAGTATTTCTGTAAGCCGCCAGGGGAAGAACAAGCAAGAGAGAAAATGTCTCACTGACTATGAAGCCAGAGGAAGAGAGCTGCAGAGAGAAGGGTCCGGTCACAAAAAGCACGTACTTAGCTCAGCAGTTTGGCTGCTTGGAAGAGTTGTAGAGTGGGTGAATGGCTGCTTAGTCAAGTAAGAAAATCCCTCTCAACTACTGTGAGAGCTGCAAAGGAAAACTTTGGAGCTCCAGCAGCAAGATGGACCATCCCAGGGGAAGAAGGGGCCTGAGTAGGGCCGATGGGCTTTGGAAACCAGAACTGAAATCGTCAGCCAGTGAGAACTTGCACTAAAAGTACCTGGAGAGCAAAATGACCCCGGGATAAACCAAAAGTAGAAACAGAAACAAAAGAACCCTTAGGGGAGAAAGCTGAATACTTCTGTAGAGACAGCTTGCACTTTTCAAACAGCCTGTTGCTGAAGAGAAAGCAAAAGTTGCTAGACCTCTCTAAGCTCACCCCCCCCCCACTCTCAGTTTTCTGTTCTTTAGCAGGACTTTCCTCAGGTAGGACACCCCGGAATTGTCCCCTGTGAGGGTTCCTTTTCCCTGGTCTTCGTCCCTCTCACTCTCTTCTACTGCCTTTGGACCAAAGGGTACTTTCCCTCATCTACTGTCATTTGTTACCAAGGCTGCATAGGGGAGGTAGTAACGGATTAAAAACTTTGGTGGTTTTTGAGAACTTGGGCCTTTGTTGTGTCTCCCCCTCCCCCTCCACGCCCCGACCACGTGACCCAGAGAGCTCGGGATTTTGTGAATGGAGCCGAAAGGTGGCTGGGAGGGGGAGGGGAAAGTCACGCGCAGCCAATCCGCGGGCGGAGCGCTGAGGGGTCAGCGATAAACAACAATGGACTGGAAATCTACGGTTCCTCATTGGCCTTCGGAGAAGCTCCGCCCTCTCCCGGTTGCCCTGGAGACTCGTCCGGCTCCGTCCTCCTCCGAGGGTTTTGGAAAGTGTTTGTTGGGGTTCCGTCCCGGGTTTGCAGGTCGGCGGGGTACCCGCGCCGCCGCCCCCTGCCTCCCCGTTCTGGTTGCACCCTCACAAAGCGCTCCGGCGCTTCCCGACTCCGGCTCTGCGGCGTCCCGAACGCAGCGCAGCGCTCGCCCGCGCTCCGATGCAGAGCTCTCGGGGAAGGGGACATGCGCGGTGCCCGGGGACCAGCCCCGCGTGCGCCCCGGAAAGCTGCGCTCCCCCGAGACGAAACGCGGAGTGCTTGTCGTACGCCTCTTGCCCAGCGGGTCTGGCGTGCCAGGCGCGCACCTGCCCATTTTACTGTCCCCACCGCGTTCCCGTTAAAGACAGAAACTTTCAAAGGGAACTAGAGCGCCGCAGCACGCCGCTCCGCGGGAGGACGCAGCTGGTGGAAAAGTCCTGCATTCCCAGCCCCGGTCTCCACTAGGGTTTCAAGTGACTTTCAACACCATGCAGCCTCTTGTCCGCGCCTCCGGGCCTCTCCTCCCGGGTGGGACAGGGGCTACGAAGGGGGCGTCTGAACTGAGCCCCGTGGGCTGGCAGCTTCAGAGACGTCCAGGCTGCCAAAGGTCCCATCATCGTCCTTGTAACCCGAGCTCTCCCCGCTCTCCCCTCCCCTCCCCTCGGTGGAGGAAGTGAAATCCTCAAGTACAGTAAGTGACACTCTCCGCCTCTCTGTATACATAACAAAAGCTCCGGAAGCGGCGGGTCCGGGGTGGGGTGGGGTGGGGTGCGGGGGACGTCTCAACCACCCAGGCCTCCCCCACCCCTCCGTGGCCGGCAGGAGGTTTCTTTTCCCTCGCCACTCGCCCAGAGTGAATCCGATTTTTACACTTTGCTCGCCTTCGCCTTCGCTGCACCGCACTCCTCCGGATCCTCCCTACGGGCTCCACCTCTCCCAAGAAGCCCCTTCTCCAGCCTGCTCTCCTTTCTTACAGTATTTTTTAAATCCCACGGACAAAAAATAAAAAAAAAAGGAGACCTTTTCAGTTGAGGATGCATTAAGAAAAAAAAAAGATTCAATAAGCCCTATATAGTGTTGAAAAATGAGAAAGTATAGCTCGGGCCGAAAGCTGGTGGGGAGCGAGGCGGGAGCATGCGGTGGGCTTGGGCTCAGAGCTAGGGAAGAGGGACTGGGGGACACTCGCTTTGTAGATCTGTACCTGAACGTCACGACGGGGCTTTAAGGGTATCTGCCCCATAGTGGACCAAACATGCTAGGAAAGAGAATTGGTTGACTTGGTACGCTAGGTTTCAGTATCCACCTTCCCCCATCCCCCGGGTCTTGCCTAAAACAGCAAGTTCGGAAGGTTTCCTCGGTGGCTTTTCTGGGGTGCGCACCCTGCGCCTCCCCGCAGAGCGGTGAGAAGGCAAGAGGGGCGCAAGAGACCCAAGGGTAGGGGCCGAAAGCCGCCTGATTGACAGGCCGAAATCTGATCTTGTGAAAGAGACGTGGAGCCAATGGGAGGCAGCGATCCATCAGTTTGGATTGGAGGCCCCTGGAGGAGAAGTAGAGGAAAAACCACCGAATTGAGCTCTGTCAGAGGCGCTTTCGGCTTCCAAGGGGAAGTGCTGGGCAATAATTAATGTTTTTATTAAATTTGGAGGGAATTTTTTGCAGCCGTTCGCCTAGCGTGGCCTTCAGGTGGGTCTTTCCAACAACTTTTTATGTCTCTCCAGATAATTGCATGGTTGTGGGTTGCAAAAACTATCCTAATGAAAGAGGTGTCTCCTTCTCTTTAGTCCCGTTAGGTGAAAAGCAAGTCTCGTTGATCGCCATTGCTAGTTTTGCACACGTTTGCGAATCAGAGCTGCCTGGGGTACACTGACCGAACAGGGGACGTCCAGAGTGTAAATAAACACACTGCCTCTGGTTAGGATTTTTGGTACCACCGAAAATATGTAAATTGTGAACTCTCTTGGCTCTCTTTGGATCCAGGTGAAGAAGGCGGCGTAGGGGAGGGTTATTTTTGTGAATGGGACTGTCGAGGGTAATTAGCTATGCAAATGCAAGAGCTTCATTCATGATTTTTTTTTAAAGCCTAAAAGCCATCTTGTTCCCCTCTAGGTTGATAGAAGTCCAGATCCCGAGGAAATCTCCAGCTAAATGCTCAAAATATAAAACACTGAGCTAATATTTGTGAAGAGCTGCAGAATGGATGGATTTTATGACCAGCAAGTGCCTTACGTGGTCACCAACGTGAGTGATCAGTTCGAAAGTTGCTGTTTATAAACTTGACTCGGACGGGGGTGGGGAGAGCGAGGGATGCAAAGGGGGGCAGGGGGTTGGGACTGCAGACACTTTATCTCTTTGTTGCCACTGTAGGGCGACTCTGCTTCTAGAAGCCCCATCTACAAAATGAGCTTACCTTTGAGTGATTTGGCTAAGGCATAGTTTTGTTTTAAGACCCCTTCTGGTTAAAGCGTCCAGGATGAGTGCAAGGGGAGACGAAGGGCCGCTGCATCTGCACTCCAAGTTTGTGGCTGGGTTTGTCTGCCACATTGAAAAGAACCAAGTTGAGACAAATACTGACCCTTTTTGTTTACATGGGGTGTCTTGGGGGGTTGCTTCCTCCCTCCCTCATTTTCTTGCTTTTTCCAGTTTTCCACTCCTTTGGCTTCTCTTACTGCGGGTGTTGAGGGGGGGTGTTGTCTGAGAGAGAATGGAATCATTTTTAATCTAGAGTTGATTTAGTAAAAAAAATAACATTAAGTGTTTCAGCTTAATGTGTCGGTGCTGGGATTACATGTAACTATGACGAGCATAAACAGGACTGTTAGGATCTGCTCTGGGAAGCCACTGTCAGGCTGTTGAACTCGCAGCCTGAACCTTCACTGCCAAAGTCAGTCAGGCAATACGTATTGAAGTTCTTCCATGAACTTTTTTTTCTATTCAGAGAGAGGATCCAGTAGGCTTATGTTATGAATGCATGTTTGTTTTTGTTTTTTTTTGTGTGTGAGTGTGTGTCTGTGTGACATCTGAGGTTTATATTCTTTTAAAGGATTTTATCTTTCCCTTTGTAGAGTCAGCGTGGGAGAAATTGTAACGAGAAACCAACAAATGTCAGGAAAAGAAAAGTCATTAACAGAGATCTGGCTCATGATTCAGAAGGTGAGGTTTGACTCGGAGCTGAACCCCCTCTCTTACTGACACTCTCTACCCTCCAAAGAAGGGGCCCATCTCAACCTCATCTAAAAAATAATAAACATTGAAACTCCTGAATTCAGCATGGACTTCCCATGCAATCATTCCCACAGTGAGTTTGCCTTGGAGACTATTTTATGGACTTGTTACAAACTAACGGGAGAAGGAAATTAGCACCCGACAGTGACCTTCTTCTTTGAAAGACTGTTTTCTGTTTCTTCTTGTCCATATGGCATATAACTAATCCCCTACACTGAGAGAACAATTTAAAACTATCTGACACCCTGGGACAAAGCAAGCAGCTATGCACACTGCTTACGTTTTTCTTTCAATTTTATTACAAGTTAAACAATATAAATGAAGCCATATACTACTGTTGAAATTTTATGAGTGAGCTTGATGACTGTATTATGAAGTCATAACATCTTGTTAATAGGCCTTGAAGTATTCACTAGATCAAACTTCAGGCTAAATGAGTAGTTATTATGTTATTTGGTAAACAAGGCTGCAGACTCTTCTATAAACTGTTGGTAAAATGTCAATGTATTAAGAATTATTTCAACCTTGTGGGGCATTTCTAATGTATTGAAGAAATTACCCAAGTTGAGTGTGAATTTAAATGAAGTGTACTGAATTCTAAACTCCATTAAGTTTTCATTCTTAGTAGATATCCCCCCCCATACCCCCCATGCCAAAGTACAATTTGGAATTGATAATAAAACAAAGCCAGGGTACTCTCTTTGATTTTTATAAGTCTGCTAATACAGAACTTTTTCTTTATATGCCTGTGTGTGAAGTTGTTCCGTAGTGTTGAGGTAATTCGGTTGGAAAATATAACTTGGGAATTAATTCAAGTTCTGCTGGTATTTTGCTTATAAACTTAGGAGAGGTAAATGTTTTGTCTTTTTAATCCTGGTCCTGCTTTAGCCAATCAAGTGTTCTTAGGAAAGATTTCTGTATGTAGACCATTTTTAGTTCAGCACCTTGATGAATCTTAGTGCATATGTATTTTTCATTCTCTTTGAGCTTACTTTTTATTTGTTAAGAACGATAAAGAAGATAGCCGATATTATTTAGTTGTCTAAAGAAATCTCTTTAAGTGCCACCTAACTGATGTCATAAGGAAGCAGGGTTGTTCAGATACTTCAGAGGTGAATCCTATGTTCAGTTGTTGATGCTCTCTAAATTGAAATCATACTGAATGCCAGCATCATGACAAACATTTTCAGTTAATGAAGACTGCAGACTGTTCAGTCTTATGTTTGTGTCTTTGACTTGCTTTTTAGAACTCTTTCAAGATCTGAGTCAGTTACAAGAAACATGGCTTGCTGAAGGTAAGGCAAAAAAAAAAAAAGGCTTTAAAGGGGAAAAGCGACTGTAGAAGGGGGTGGAGGGAGTCCTGAACTTGCTGTCTTAATGTTCAACCCAATTAATTGAGCTCTAAAAGAGTCACCTCATGTGTCTTGCATACATTAGAGCCTCTGATGAGCTTGTCTTTGGGGACTCTGGGGCTGCACTACCCAGTGTCATCACAAATTACCAGGAGAAATTGCTTCCAGCTCACAATCACATCTGCTTTTGGCAAGAACTAATGCACCAGGACTTCAGGTTCTAAGTCTCTGTTCAGATTTTAATTGCAATTGATCAGGTTTATATTATTGTACCTCGAGAGACCTAGAGCCAGAACCGGCTGGCTTGCTGTTTCCTTTAGAGCGGTTCATATGACTATTTGCTGTTCTGGTGGAGGACTTTTCTGATGGCAGAAATTAGTTTCTCTGGGCTCATCAGGACGGGATGCTTCAAGATTTAAGTGCAGGTGTCTTCTTTCCTCCTTGTTCACAACACAGAGCATTAGGTGTGTATCTCTCAGTTAGGAAACCTGTGGGTTTCAAGGAAATCTTTTAGTGAGAGTTGAGGATTTTAAAATTGTTTTGTGTGTGATGATGCATGCAATGTTTGTTGAAGTTTGACTGTTGATGTCTTGTCACTTTTATTAGGATTTAATGTGGAGACATTTAATGCCATTTTGGATTTTTTTAAAAAAAATTCCACGTTGCCACCTAATCATATCTTTTATTGCGTGCAACTTTGTTTATTGGAACAATGAGCTGTGGCTTCAGTAAAGCTCGACATATGTTCAGATATGCTTAAGGTGGGAGGGTTTCTGTTAGTATCTACAATTTACAATTTTCTACTGGAATTCCTGCATTTGTGAGATGTTATTTTGTGATTTTGTGTATGTGTGTGTGTGTGGTGTGTGTGTGTGAAATGAAAGCTGTTGATTTTTAAAAATTTAGTATATTTTGTTACATTTTTAGTATATTTTGATGTATGTATGTGTATAGTTATATTTTCTGTGGGGAATGTGATTGTGGCACAGATTTTCAAGATGGTTTAAAGTGAAAGGAGGGTCTCCAAATGGAACTCAGGGCTCCTGTGGCAGCTCTGAAGCAGACAGATGAGAGCTTTTAGCTACGGTCTTGTAGGCAGTTGATCAAGTTGCTTTTAGCATGTAAACAAGTTTCTTTGTCTTGCTGATAATTCTAGTTCTTCAAAAGGTTTTTACAATCTTAAATGATTCAAAATCATTTAAGCTAAATAGCTCTTAATTATCCTTTGAAAGGGGATTGCATTTATATGTTAATGAATGGTAAGTATTAGTGAAAGTTTTGTTTAAATTTAAGGTCATTTTTGCTTGTCTCTAAATGAAACTTTCTGCAATAGATTACTTAGTATTGCAACATAAACCATATATTCAACTAGCTTTTTTCATGAAAAATTGCAAAGTCTCTTGCATTAACTTTTTATCTGTGGGTTTTGCTAAATTGAAGGTTATGTGGAATTTTGTTTATTCAAGAATTTTACTTGCTTATCCAGAATACGTTACCGTACTTACCTTAATTGTTGTGGAAGGTTTATTGGTTCTTAAGATGTTTAGATTTGGAAACTGAATCCATGTCAGTGCACTGACTGGCAGACTTGGAATGTGCATAGCAGCTGTTTCTGAAATTTTAAAGTGTGGATCTGTGGCAGACTTTTATCATTTTCAGTACATTTTCTTTCTTTCAGTTTTCACTTTTCCCTTGTTTTACTTGTGCCTTATGCCTCAGATAAGAGAGTTGAATAATTTATCCGAGTTTGTCTTTTAAAATAATATGGGATTTTTCTTATCTCTTCATTACCTGCAAATCAGTTCTGAAGACTTATCTTTATATAAAGTAAACCTAGATAAGGATTAATGTATTGGGAGGAACTTGGGCTTTTACTTAGAAAAGAATTCATAAACATAATTAATTTCAGAAATTAAGCTGGAGTTTTTTATTGAATACTCAGGTGTGCTAATGTTTACAAACTGCATTTTAGAGTCATATAAACATTTTCAAAGTAGTTACATTAATTTATCCAGTTATTATATAAGCAAAATTTATTAACATAAAAAATCTAATAGTAAAGAGGTTTTTTTAAATGTTAATAAGCTACAAATTTAGTTTTGTTCTTGGCAATTAAATACAGTTACTGTGCACATGTATTTTTATTTGGCTTAAGACTGGAACAATAAGAGATTCCAAAAACTAGACAGCTTAATTTGTTGCTAGTTTTGTTCATTTCTGCTTTTCTGGACAGGCAGAAATTAATGTATTGCTAGCCTGGCAAACTATGTAATGCATAGCCAAGAAAATGACCACAGGTTTTTTTTTAAAGGCATTTTAATCTTTCAAAAGGAGATGATTGACAATTTACCAAGTTTCTCTCATGAGTTAGAATCACTCTGGGAAGTCTAACAGGTTCCTAAAATTCTTTTTTTAGACATAAGAGTCAAGTTTGCTACAAAGTGTCATATGATAATCACCTTAAATAAAAGAAAATTCTCCAAGTCCCTAAATAGAAATGAATCATCTTAAAATTTTAAATATTTTTTCCTGTAAGAATGTTTAAAATTATACCAAGTACAGCATATTGATTTTCATGAGTAAATTATTGTAGAGTATGAAATATGTTTCTTCTCCAAAGGGCAGTTGAGGTAGATAAGGCAGGACTTTCGGGTAATGATAGAGGTCCTGTATTCAGTCTGCTAAAGTCCTTTGGTACAGATAGTGATTGCACTCTTCCTTGCAGCTTTATTTGCAGACAGAGGAGGAAAACAAGTTGGTAGAATGTAGTTTCACATTAGAAGCACTCTCCAAGCACTAGCACTGAGGTTTAAAGGCTGGTAACAAACATACCACAAACTCAAATAATCACCTTCTGAAGAGAGAGTATAAAGCTAATGTTTTCAATGACCACAGTAGCCGATAAAAGGAATAGAGACGATGATTATCTTAAATGTTACCGTAGTTGCTTTATATTGAACTTCACTATGGACAATACTTTATTGATTCTCAGTCCTTTGAATTAGATTGCTACTGACAGGCAATTGGAATTATTTGATCCCTTGAAATAACAAGTTCAAATGTCACTCCTATCAGCATCGAAGCAACTTTTTGTTCTTAACTTGTTTTGAGAGCTATAAACAGTAGGTGCTGTCCAAAACTTCTTATTTGGGGAACAGAAGTAGAAGGGAGTAAAAAACAAGTCGAGAAAGCATTGCATCCTTTGGAATGCGTCCCATCAACGTATACCTGCAGTACAGCTTACAGGGAAGTCATACAGTTTAGTGTACATCCCAGGTGAAACTTGACTACTTCTGTCTCCTTTTGTTGTGGTCTGGGTGTCTTGAGGTTCCTGCTGTGAATGAGCTTGAGAAAGTCACCAGTGGTGATTCACTACCAACAGGGTAAAAGGCTTCCAGGGACATAGTGAAGTCGGTTCAGGATGCAGCTACAGCTACACCTCAGAGGTTTACCACCAAGAGCAATGTGCTACACAAAACTTCATTATTATCTCATACAAATAAGGAGATTGCCTTTGGTTTTATGAAACTGTCAAATAATGTTCCTGTTGGCTTGGAAATAGAGATGTTACTGCATTTTCCTCAGTTTGCTTCTGATACAAAGTTTATGTCCAAATTATATTTTCGTGATACTTACTGGGAATATGAGTTGCCATTATCATGTGACCTCCACTATACACAGTACTCTTGAGTACTCAATTTAATTGCTCTACTTTACAAAGAAGAAAGAACACAATGTTACCATAGGATGTACTCATATTTCTTTTTCATATGCAGTGCAGTTTTTGTAACTATAGTACTTTATATGGTTATATAAATAGTATCTGATAATTCAGCATTAAGGAAGTCCACACAGGTTCTTAGAATTGGGTGGGAGATGATTCTTGTTCGTGTGTGTGTGTGTGTGTGTGTGTGTGTGTGTGTGTGTGTGTGTGTGTGTGGTATGTATTGGGGTAGCACCTGCTACTATCCCTTTCTTGTTTTACTCGAACGCTCTGTAAAATGTGGAAGGACTCTGATTTGGAGTAAAGCTAGAACAATTGTATTTTCCTTCTAAATATCCGTTGGAGGAATGTAAAATGTAGCTCATCCATAATCTGCTTTGAAAAGAAGAGAAATTATTTTTAAATAGAAAAATTGGATTTGGTAGAGCATAGCGTAGTTTTTTCAGAAAGTGCTGACATGTGAAATGCTGAACTTTTCCAGTTGAGTTACAGAGAATGTGTAATACCTTGCATGCTGCAGTGCAACTCTCTTTCTTTGGTTTATGCACAGTTTTGTAATTAAAAATAATAAGAACAACGACAGAGTCAGGCCAGTGTAGAAGGAGAGGGAAACCCTGGCTGCCGACTGTGGCTGCCTGCCTGGCTCTGGGCTCGCCTTTTAAGTTTTCAAGTCACTGCAGGTCAGTTTAGTTAGAAACTGAAGCCGACTGGAGGCCTTCCTGTTTTCCTGCTCTTCGTGCACACACAAAGAGTGCATCCAGCATTGAAGGCCTTTCTGTCTAGGGAAGTCCTCCTCCCCTTTCTACTTAAATATGTTTATATTTCTGCACTAATTAATGCTTTTACTTTGCAATCATTTTAATGTTAAACCGGATGTGGTATAAAAGTAGTAGGCTTAGTGAGCTCATGATTATTTTGTTCTGAAGCCCCATTTTAGGATTAGAAGGAGCACCACAGTGCAAATGTTGATTTTCTTGTTTTGCTTAAAATAAAATTTAAATTTCTTCAGACAAACCTTCCCAATAATAGGTTGCGTGCTTATGACTCAAAACTTGAATGACAGAGAAGCAAAAAAGGCCATCTATTTATTTTATTAGCAGTATTGTTTTGCTGCTGGGAATCAAACCCATGGCTTCCCACATGCTCAGCAAGTGCCCATCTCCTTAGACACCTTTCCCCTTCAGTGCCCCCTACCGCCTCTCCTCTCCCATCCTCCCTTTCCCTTCTTCCTTCTTTCATCCCCCTTTTTCTTATTTTCTGCTCTCTTTCCTAGGTTTGGCACATGCGTGTTTTCGGGACTAAGGTACCCTGTGCAATAGGATGGGTTAGATACATGTGTGTGCATCTTGCTTCCTTTCTCCCTTTCCTTCACTCCCCTCTCCGTATATGTCATTTATTTTAATGTGTGTCTTAGCGGATCTGTTTGAGGCAGAGCAATAAAATTTGGTGTGTTTATCCTGCAAGTTCAGCTTTCTTGCTTTAGTTCTCTGGAAGGGTGTGACATGAAAAGATTGCGGTTGGGCCACATGGTTCATGCTGGACTGTGTTTTTGTGAATGGAGGCAGAAATCCAGTTCTGCCTGCCTGCCTGTCTTGAGGAAGCGCTGAGGAGATCAGCTGTCTCATTCACGGGCAGAAAGAATGAGTCACACATCTTCCGCCTTGTTTGGCTCCAGGTCATTGTTACAGTGGATGGAACTGGTTTTAATTAAATATTAACCCCTTTAATACTTGACATTTGTTTCAGTCGTCATTTTCCCCAGTCCCTCAGAGCCCCCCCCCCCCCCACTGGCTTTAAAAGAAAACTCATCAGACAGCTGTTTGTAAGAATAACAGGTTTTTTACTTGCCTGCAGCTAAAGTTGAAAAAAAAAAATTTCAACGTTCACCATTTCTTAGGTAGTGAATATTGTTTTATTTAAAAGTTGAAAATCGGCGTACAGTAAAAGCAAGCTGTATTTAAAACTGCCTTTCCCCCAAGGCACTGACGCTGAAAGACTGCCGGTTACGTTGGAAAATGGGGCATTGATACTGTGACGTTTCCGTTGTGATTAATACTTTTATAAATTTCTTTCCCACAGTGCTGCTATGGCCTAGCAGGAAAGAGTACTAAAGAACAGCTTCGGCTAGGAAGCTAGATAAAGCAAAAGCTGAGAGTGCGGATGCTACCCCTTTAAAGCAAAGACTCAGAGACTCGATTGCAAATGTCTATTAATGGGAAATGAACTGATAGAGTTGCTTCAGCTATTACCAATAAAATCTACATGCTCAGTGTTCGCGAAAGCCTTTTAAAACTGACCTTTGGTATATATTTCCTCCCCTTCTGCATCCTTCTTGTTCTCCTTCCCCTTTTATTCCATTGTATAGAGAAGCATTTTCACTCCCCAAAGATGAACACTTGAAGCATAGTTTAGACAGCGATGTAATTAAAAACACTTAAAAAAATTTAGGTCGGCTTATACTGTTAATTTTCACCTTGGGGTTTGGTATGGCTTGCAACAACATTTCAGGCAGCTGAAGTCTGCTCCTTCATAGACTTTTTGTGAATTAAAGAAAAAATGTGTGCTCCAAGTGTGGTGATACTGTGTCATAGTTTCCTTGCCCAATTCCGAGTTGTGTTTTTAGTTAGATGCATTCCCTTTACTCCAACTTGAAGTTAGAGGGAGACTTAAGCCTTTGTCTATTTAAGTGGTGTGCTGCTTCGTTCAGTCTATTCCTCTTAAGATCAGCTTCTGTGAAAATGTGAGTCATATGTTTTTTGTTAAAAGTCTGTAATATGTTCAAGCATAAGTGTGAAGTACTTATTCAGTATGTTAAGGAGTTAGGACAGAAATAGCATCCTTCATCCTTACGCTTTTTACAAATTGTTAGTATGGAGCTATTTTCTCTGTACTTGTGAGGTGTACCTTCCAGATTCTTCTGCCCCCTAAGTGTTTCCCCTAGCGGCACACACAGGTGGACATCCAGCGCACCCCACACACCCGTTGCTGGGGCCTTGCATGCCGTTCCTCATGTGATCTACTCTGTGGAGCTGCAACTCTGCCTTACGAAATGAAGGAAAAGGTCTGGCTGTGTGAGCGTGCTAAGTCTCGCATAACTCACTACCTGCTTTCCAGCATTCCTATAAGCAGGCATTACGTTTTCACTAGATTGTTATAAATGATACTTTATTATTTTATTTTAGTTGTCTGCTTTGTGCCACTACACAGGAATGAAGGTTGACTTTAAATTAAAAAAATTGTTTTCTTACTTAATGTGTGTGCATGCTTTGGCTGCAAGTATGTCTGTGTACAGTGTGCGCGTGCCCGGTTCCCGTGGAGACCAGACTCCCTGGAACTGGAACTGCAGATGGTGTGAGCCACCGTGTGGAGTGCTAGGTGCTGGGTATTGAACCTGGGTTCTTTGAAAGAACAGCAAGGGGTCTTAACCACTGAACCATCTGGCCAGCCCCAAGTGTTGGCTTTTTAAAGGAATATTTTGTACCTCAATTGCTGTTTAGCTGTTTTGTTTTGGGTTTTGGTTTCTCTGTGTATCCCTGGATGTCCTGGGACTCACTCTGTAGACCAAGATGGCCTCAAACTCAGAAATGCACCTGCCTTTGTTTCTTATATGCTGGGACTGAAGGTGTGTGCCACCACACCTGCTCTATATCTGTTTAGCTCTCAATTTGGAGGGAAATCTAAAATATGGATGTATTTTTAAAAGTTGAGAATTTAATTATGTATTTGCTGTTATTAAGTATGTTAAAACATTTGTAACTATTTTAGGTGTAAAATGACATTATAAAGTACATTTCTTCATCAATCTGAGCAGAAAGTCGAAAACTATGTTGTCAGTAGCAAAGAATAGATTGTCAACAGCTAAGAGAATGCTAATGCACCCCTCTTTTCTGCCTCTAGTCATGGTTTTACTTTTGTTTTGTTGTGGTTGTTTGTATTTTTGTTTTTTTGAAGCAGGGTCTTTCTGTGTAGCTCTGGCTGTCCTAACAACTTTCTCTGTAGACCAGCCTGATCTTGAACTCACAGAGATCTGCCTGCCTCTGTCTCCCAAGCGCTGGGATTAAAGGTGACTGCGATAATGCTTGTAAGTGCATTTGTAAGTGTGACTTTTAGAGAGGGAGTGATGGCAGAGGATTGGAAAGGAGAATGTATCTAATATCCAAGTATGTGGGATCATGCTTAAACTACCCCATTTATTAGTTTTGAAAAAAAATCCCTTTAGTATTTCATCAAGTTACACTGATGTGTGTGTGTGTGTGTGTGTGTGTGTGTGTGTGTGTGTGTGTGTGGCAAGTGGCATTTAAAGAAATGGAAGAATTTACCTATAGGTGACAAGTTACCAGTCTTGTCACCAGTAAAAATCTATATAACTTGAAAGCTATCAATCATAGCATCAAATACTGGTGGAATGAGAAGAAAAACTTGCTTCTAGTATGGGTTGATCAAGTTGGTACCAGTTACGACTAGAAATTACTGTTGGTTAATTTTTTTTAATTTTCATTTTTTTGGCAGCAGGGAATGGTGTGTCTTCCATAAAGTACTGGTATAAGGAAAATCACTAGGGAGCAACTCTGTAACACACATATTTTAATACTAGGCAAGATTATCTTGGGATAGTTATGTTTTTGACCAAGGTAATGCATGCTTATTCATCAAAATGTTTCCATTTGCAAAGAATGTGGTTAGATAAACAGAAAAGAAAAACCTGTTGAGGATGTGTTCTGTTTTTATGTGGAATTATATCATAAAAATCCTTTTTTTCTTAACTCACTTAACCGTTTCAACAGAGAGGAATTATTGCTATTGTTGTCATATGATTCCTGAGACAGAGCCCCAGTTTGCACTTTAGGCTAGCCTGGAGCTCTCTGTGTGCCTCAGGCTAGCCTCAGACTATTGGTGAATCTGCCTCAGCCTTTCAGAGCTGGGGTTACATGCCTGGCTAAGACCGAGTATTTTTAACTAACATTCTCCACACAAAATAATTTCATTTAGAAAAATTTGATTGACATCTCTTTTAATATGACAGTTATTATACAATATTAGTAAAGTAACACTAGCTAATGAGATCACATTGGAAGTCAATAAGGATGACAGCTCATTACATGTTCACCAAGTTATAAGTAACCTGATTGCTGTTTTGTGTAGTTTATGCAAAAGGTATGCATATCTGTTTGTGTTTGAAAACTCACTAATATTCTATGAGATTATAGGTTATTTAAATGCCCACATCAAAGATAATAAACATTTCAAGGTGAAACATTGGACTTGAGTTTTCATTGCAGCTGAATGTATTACATTCACCTAATTAGCCCTTTTCTTTTAATCAAGCCGGAAGTCAATTGACCTTAGGGGCAACCAATGGCATGGTTCTTTCCTCAGTGCTGACTAGCATAACCAGGAGAACATTTTGCATGAGAAGATGACATTTTTTTATTGTTCGTTATTTTTATTACGAACACAATTGTTAAAATATATTGCTTTGCTACATGTGGCCCAAGTCAATGAGGGTTCTTTCATTTTTCAAGTTTTATGGCTTGCTTTGAGCAAATTTAGGGCAAATGTTTTCAATTATGGTAGTCTTATTTGCAGGAGACAGAGCTTACCCAAAGAAGTCGTTTCAAAAACTATGGGGGAATTGTATGATAGCTGCACATCACTTGAAAAAAAGAACCCTGGCAGTTCACCACGATGGTCAGCTTAAGCGCCAGGCGTGGGTGAACGGCCATGCCTTCAGCACAACTCCTGCAAGGTGCAACTGTGCAGGATGCATGGATCCTGTTCTCTTAATTCGCCATCTCCTTAACTTCGGCCAGGCAGGTGAAACTCCTGCCACCCCGCTGTTTCTGACACTGCCATGCTTTCCAGTTACACCTAGGGAACTTTTCTTCTACTCTCCTAGGCTGTCAAGGCTGTTTTAAAGAGGAGGTTGTGGCAAATAATCATCACAGGTCTGAGCTCCGTCAGAACAGGCCTTGCTTGACACATCTGACTTGACATTGCTTGTATCTTGGCAGTTCCTCTCTTAATTTTTTAAACCCTTTTTGTTTTCTTCTTCTTCTTCAGCTCAGGTACCTGACAATGACGAGCAGTTCGTGCCAGACTATCAGGCTGAAAGTTGTAAGTACAGCATGACTCATCTCTTGTGTTCCCCTCTGTGTGTCCTCTCTCTCGTTCTTTCTCCTTGGTTGCTTTCCACTTGGAGTGTCTGTCTTTGCATTGTGCGGGTGTTGTATTTGGCTTCCAGTTGTGAGGTGTTTGTATTTGTCAGGCTGTGACATCAGCAGAATCTGTGCAATCTGAGCAGAGCTTCCAGGGGTGGGCAGGGAAAGCTGAGCTGTTGAAATGCTGGCCGACTTCTCCATAGGTAGTGCATCTCCTTGGGGAGGAAACAGGGTGTGCTGTGCACATGTGCGTGTGTTTACTTCAGTTTTGCCGATGCGTTCAGACAAGGAAAAGTCTGCATGCTGGTGGCAGTCAGAGTAAAAACCCACATGGAAGTGGTTATCCTATAAGTTGTAAATAAAGACCTTGGCTCGGACATTCATTGGTTAATTGTATTACTCTGCATTCACAAACTTTCACCTGCTCTGACTAAAGTTTTAGCCTGAAGTTTTCAGCTTCCAGGCTGCAGTAGCGCACATGGAAGCAGCCCTTAGCCTCTCACAGCATCCCTTTTGTGTTCGTGTCCCTGAGCCTTGCTCCAGGGCCTGTCAGAATGAAGGGAGAGTGATTCATGGACACTTCCCCTCCCTTAATTGCAGAGCGAGCATTTTGCCTGCACAAACATAGTTGCCCCAGGGTTTACTGCTGATATTTATACTCTGCAATTCTAGCACTAACTGAAGCTACTGACCCGTGAAGTGAATCCAAAGGAGAAGCAGGGTTACTCCTCATCCCCCAGGGACATGTTCCAATAGAGTTGGTAGATTCATGTCTCCATGGAGAGCCGAGCAGCTTGTGTTCCAGAGCCTGCTTTGTCATTGTGTGTATATGTCTATGACAAAGCTTAATTTATAAATTAGTCAAGGCAAGAAATTAACAGTGGCAATAAGAGACTAGAACAGTCGTAACAAAGCTCTATCATTAAAGCCATTTGAAATCATAAATTATTTCTAGAATTTTGTGGCAAGTTACAGGAAACTAAATATGTAGAAAGTGAAAGTGCCTGTGAGTGGGGAACATTGTATACAGTATGACACTTGTCAGACGTGTTCTTTTTCCTTTCAGTGCTGTCTAAAGTGTGTTCAGACTGTTGATGGTGTCAGATGAGTGGATGTCAACAGATACGCGAGATTGTTACTAACTTATACCTCAGGAAACCCGTATTGCAGACCTTGATCTCCCAAGCACCTATATTACTTCAAGTAGCAGATGCTTGCTGGAAGTGTTTGTTTTCAATGTCTGTTATCTTAAACTTTCCAGGCACAAAGGGCAGTTAGAGGCTTCCCAAGAATAAAAGCCACTTAAGGAGTCTAAAGGAGAAAAGGTGTAAAAGTGTGACCTCACAGTAGTTTGTTTTCCCTGACAGCTGGTGCTGTACCAGAACCCTCACCAGTTTCTCTGGATGTGAAATGTCTCTATGAAGCTTCAGTCTTCAGATGACAGGTTTCACATGTAGGAAAAAGAATTCAAGTTCCTCATATTATAGCTTGATTTTTTTAAAAGCGCTGTAGTAAAATGCACATAAAACAAATTCCATCTTTTGAGATTATCTTAAACGTAGAGTTCAGTGGCACTAAGTACGTTCTGATTGCTGGACTATCATCAAGTCAGTTCAGAATTTTCAATTAGCCGGAAACCCTATACTCACAGCGCAGCACTTCTGTCTCCCCAGCCCCTGCCAGCGTTGTCCTGTCTCCTTAATTTTCATCAAAGAAGAGGCTTTGACGTGCTCGCTGGTGTCTGGGTCCAAGTGCTTCACGTAGCTCTGAAACGTATTTCTGAGATTTCAGCTAGAGACTTTCAAAACTCTCAAGAGGACCATGGCTAAGGACAACAGCTCTGAAGGGCCTTAGAGCCTGGGAAGGGAACAGTCACATTTTTACCATTTCCTTCCCTGTGGAGGGACTTGAATTTCTTTTTCTACAAACTCAGCCTGTCCTCTGAGTGAATGAATGAAGTCTCACTGAGTCCTTTCACATCAGAATAAATTGGTGATGATTCCATAACTGTACCAGCTGTCAGAGCAGAGAACAATAACCAAAGGTGACTTTTACTCCTTTTCTTTTTTTTCATAAAATATATATTTTATTTTATTTTTTTATATTTTATTTTCCAGTTTAAATTTAGATAAGAAACGAGGTTGCTTTTCTTATTTGCCGTCTTTGCCATCTTTTATTCTTGAGTGTCTCATCCGTCATATCCCCAGACTCAGCAGTGTGGACCGTTGTTTTCTCTGTCTTTGATTCCTTCTTACTCCACTCACTGCCCATCTATTATGTTGATGATACGTGGTTAGTGGGACCACAGAAATGAATTTTTCCTTTCAGTTAAATTTGATTACTTCCATTGGAGACTCATGTGAGTGTCGGTTAGTGTTCTGATCAGCAAGGCTCTGAGCAACCACACCCACCATGCCATTTTCCATCTTTGGTCTCGTCTCCTGTGTCTCCTCCAGCTTCTCTAATGTGCCACAGGGGTCCTCTGGAGTCACCCTGCTCCACCTTCTGTGGGTTGGTGTGAAACACTGTTTAAATCAACATGGAACCCAATAGAGAGTTCACATTAGAAAGACAGAGGTTTTTCCAGATTGACAGTTGTTTTATTTTTATTTATATTTTTTGAGTTGTGTCTTATAAGTTTCCAAGTTGGCCTCAAACTCACCATCATGGATGATTATGGATGATCTCAAACTTCTTATTTTTCCCCCCTTTCCCAAATGCTGGGATTGTAGGTGTGTGCCGCCACCCCTGGCTGCAACAAAATGTGTCTCTTTACGTCTGCTGTCCTTGTACGTGAGGTATTGCTGTCCAAGCTCAAGCCCTTGATTTACACTGTCCCTTCAGCTCTCTGCAAAAGCCTGCAGTTACTGAGTTGTTCATCCTGCCTCTCAGAAGCATCTCAAATGTTTCATCCGCCTGTTTCATCGCTGTCCCCCTGGCTGCCCCCTGAGGCTGCTGCCACAGAGGTCCAGAATAGGTTTTGAAGTTGCCTTTCTTCCCTGTGATCCTTTCCCCTCCTAGCCACACTTGCGTCCACGTACAGTTGTCTGGCCTTGTTAATTTTCTCCTTGTACCTCTTGCTGGACAAAGTCCTTAGGCTTGAGCTCTGCAGAAAATTGTTCTATAACCCAGGCCTTGACCTTTACCTTTTCAACTCAGCTTTTTAGCTGCTGGGTTACCAGTACTCCCTTCCCTCCAGCTGCCTCTACACTTGGTCTTTTCTACTTTCCAGTCCTTCAAACAGGACACACTTTTTACGGCTCACAGTGCTTTAAAAGATTTCACTGTGAGATTTCGGTGGTCCTATTTCACACTCACTTCAGACTGCAACTTGTTTGTCTTTATCAACTTTTTCTTGCTGCTGCCCTGTCTTACGGAGTTGCCCGACAGCATCATGTGTCTCGTATCTATTGTGTTAGAGAATTTAATAGATTTAAAAAAAAGAGAGAGAGAGAGATGGTCTCACTATTCAGTCTGGACTGGCCAAGAACTCAGTGTGCAGACCAAACTATGTTCAAACTCAGTTTGCCTCTGTCATCATACCTGGCCCAGAGATTGTGAATTTCCTAAGAGTGAGGGTCGTGTCATATTCAACATGATCAGCATGTTACAGATGCACCAAAACTAAGACAATTATCCTACTCATCTTAATGTTGCTTTAACCATTGAATAATGACATGTTAATGAGACTTTGAAACTTATAAGTGAAACATTTTTCTTTATAAAAGAAACATAAGCAAAGGGTAAACATAATTCTGAAATTGTCTAATAAAACTCATGGTAAGGCATATTTCAAGTTTTAACAGATGTAACAAATATTTATTCAGCTGATGCTGCTCAGCTAATTTCTCTTGCTGCTACGGAGAGAATAAGAATGACCTGAAGAAAGGAGTAGAGTATTGGAGCTTGGATTAAATGAAGGCTTTCTTCAAGAAGAAGCTCTCAGAAACTAGACTGGAGAGGTCATGGTTTCTGAAGAGCTTTCTGCCGGGGGTTGCTTAGCATGACAGGATTTTTCTTCTAGGAATAGGAAGAAATTCTTCATCCCAAATGTGACCAATCATTTCTACATTTACCCATGATGAACATAGATAATTGTATTTCCTTACAGATCTCCACAAAACAAGACATTTCTGTATTTGTCGTTGTTGCTGCAGTCATTTGGTAAAGCAAGGTTAGCCAAATTAACAGAAAAATTTTATTCCACACTTCACACCATAGAAGATCAATGATACTATAGCATATTTAAGTACAGATAGAAGGTAACAGAAGAAAACCTTCAAAAATGTGAACAGATACAGACAAAATATTTGAATTAGAAATCTGGAACCCAATGTTTTCCTCTTGCTGGCTAATTTTTTAGAATTTCAAAATTTTGAAAAAAAATAACTTTCGATTAATTCTTTCCAAGAAACAATTGGTCTGAACACATTATGTTGCGTTGATATATTTTCATAACTTAGACATGCTATGGAAACACATAATCAGTTTATGATTAACTTTAGAAAAGGCACTTCAAAGGGCAGTTTGAGATGGAAATGTATGGCTAGCAAGAAGTTTCAGTGGATGAAGACACTTTCTGCCCTGTCTGATGACCTGAGTTCTATTCCCAGGATATACAGAGTAGAAGGGGAGGGAAAACTGATTCTGAAATGGACCTCCAGATGCAGACATGTGCACACACACCCACAGACACATTTATACAGACCCCCCCCACAGAGAGAGAGAGAGAGAGAGAGAGAGAGAGAGAGAGAGAGAGAGAAAGAGAGAAAAAGAGAAGGAGACAAAGAATATCATTTGAAAAATTACAACTGCACAGATGAGCCTTAGTCTCTGAAGTTCAAACAGATTTGCATATGAATTGAATGTTTTAGAAATGAGCATTTAAAATTATTTCAATCATATATCAACTCATTCTAAATGAAGTCATATCACAATAGTCCTTTAGAATCTACC